GTATTATTTAGAAACTTTTGTTTCGTCATGTTTTCATAGCCTACCTCGCGTGCCAACCATAGACTGTAAAAAAAGGTGCCAACACCGGACTTCGGTGTGCTCAGATGTGTGCGCGCTGCTGTTGCTAGGAAACACAGACGCGCGCGGATTTCTGTCGCGTGGGTCAGCTTCGGTTTCGGTTAAACTGCGTTGCTTTTACAAGCATTGATTGGTTTATTACTGCGTTGCAAATAGATCATTTCTATTACCCTATAATATAATTTCTATTAAATACACTGACAAATAAAATAAATTGTTAAACTCAAACTTCAGATTTACTGGGGCACAGCAGATTTATACTGGGGCACGTGCCCCAGTAAAATGGGTCTAGCAACGCCCCTGGGTCTAACCCTAACACTACCCCAGACCTAAACCTACCCATAACCGAAGCGTGTTATATTGACGCTAAAGGGTGCCATGTGCGTCGGATGTAGACGCTTTTGCAAAAGCGTCAGTATATGACGCCTTGGGATGAGAATGCGTTGCATGAACAGTGCTAAACAATGCATATGGATTGTATTATAAGACATTTTAAAGCTCCAGGCTGGGCAATGAAAAAATTAAATTATTAAGAAGACACATGGAAACTGAGCACCATTGTTACGAACTGGAAAACTCAGTGGGATCCAATTGCAGTCTTTAATGAAAGAACATCAGAACAGGCAAGGGTCAGGCAACAGCAAAACAGGGAGATCAGAGAATAAACACAGAGAGTGGTCAGGTCACAGGCAGAAGTTCAGTTCAGGGCAGGCAACAAACAGGCAGAAACGAGAAATTTGGGCACTAGTAAGGACAGTATAAGGATTCATGGCTCACTACACTTGGGACACTGATGACTCTATTTCCGGCGATGTGACATTGTACAACATCATACTGAGAGCTGATATCTTTCTGACATTACTTGTAATGTTATTTAAAGTAGCCTACATTATGATAAATAGTTAGTTTTTATATATCGTTGCTTCGAACTTCAAAAGACTTTCATCCATCCGCCAACACACCATTGGCCGCCCCAAAATCTATCCAGGCACGAGAAGACCGCCAGCCAAGCAACGGACCCGGGAAACCCCCTTTTACGCAGACAAGGACAAGCAAGAAGCACTCCAGACTCTTAACTGAACTGGTGCATTGATATAAAATTGAATAACCCGCCTAAGAAACGATAGAAGGGTTAAATTAACGATTGAAGGTTCGTTCAGGTCATGTCTTATAAGTGCATATAGAAACTTGGGATTTCACCATCTCACTCTTAAAACTCATTCTTTCCTCACTCTCTTTCTTTCTGCAACTCGTATGAATGTGTGTGTGCGTGTGATTGTGTTAGATATTAGTTTTATGTGTTAGAATAATCAAGAAAGTCTTGTTTATATTTTAAAGATAATTGTTCTTGTGTTATGTGCTTACAGATTTAATGTCTTAAACTGCTGATCTAAGTTACCTTGCTAATAAATAGTGTTTCACTATAGTTGGGATATTTATATCCGCTGCAGGTTATAGTTCACAGGAGCTCAGCAGGGGCTCCAGTGCGTCATCGAGCCCTGTTTTAGCCCCGCCCAAAAAATCCGGAAAATAGCAATGGTGAAAAACTGTTTAACGGTCTAACTCCACAATTCAGTATTTCACAGTTCACAGTCTTTGTAATATGTTTTAGCAATACATTTCTAACATTTATAATGGGTTTATAATTTTTTTTTAGAATTGCCTTTACAGGGACTTTAATGAAATAATATATATTGAATTCTCTATCGTAGTGTTTACTGACCAGCAAAAAATAAACATATTATAATTCAATAATGACTGACTTGTTGAAAACTGAAAGAAAAGGACCAGTGAGATACATGTGTGGACCAAGAACCATGCAATACGTCATTTGAAAGTGAAATGATTCAGGTTTTGACAACCTAATTGCTAAGTGAAAATTGTAAATAGCACCTTAAGATTTTTTTATTTTTTTTTATTCCTAAAAGTCAATATTCAGTTAAAGATCTTCATGTATGAAGTGCATCCACAAAATATTTAAGGATATTAGTGTGAAGAAATATATATAAGTTGCTATTATAATGACACCTAAAAAAAAAGTAACTGATGCCACTTTATAAATAAGCTAGTCATGATTAATTTGTTACATACAATTATTTTCAATATTTTCCAAAAGTACAGTTTGTTTATGTGTAAAACTTTTTTAATGAGGGAAAATTTAGTTGGTAAACCTTTAAATGTCACGGGTGGTGTATGGCAGGAAGCACGAGGAGACGAGGAATTCCAATAAACAATAAACTTTACTATAAATCAAAACAGGTACAGGCAGACAGAGCGGATGCAAACACCAGTTAACATTGACGAGAACCGACAAAGACAGACTGAACAGAGAGAACTAAATACAGATACAAACGACCACTAACGAGGTGAGGACAGGTGACACAGATGATTAAGACGATGAACAGGTGGATGATTGAGGGAGTGAATTCAGGTGTGGAGACAAGAGGACGCTGGGAAGTGTAGTGAAGATGACGAAGACAGAAAGGTGCAGACGATGACTGTGACATTACTCCCCCCCTCCCGGTAGGCGTGACCTCACGCCTTAGAACAGGGGTGGGAGGGTGGGCATCCTGGAGTCCGTAACGGGAAGGCGGACTGGGTGCAGGAGGATGGACTCCAGGATGGATCAGGCGGCCATGGCGGAGCAGGACGTGGGCGTGGCCAGGGTGGAGCAGGACGTGGCCAGGGCGGAGCAGACGAACCCTCGGGCGTCCAGGGTGGTGAGGACCCTTCGGGCAGCCATGGTGGAGAGGACCCTTCGGGTGGCCATGGCGGAGAGGACCCGTCGGGTGGCCATGGTGGTGAGGACCCTTCGGGTGGCCATAGTGGTGAGGACCCTTCGGGCGGCCATGGCGGTGACCTATGGCCCCCCCCAAAAAAATTCTTGGGGAGAGTGACTGGATGAGGGACAGGCTCTGTGACAGGCTGGGCAGATGTGCCGTAAACCACCCTTAGGCGGGGCAGACGGGACGTTAACAGTCTCTGGCTGGGCAGACGGGACGTTAACAGTCTCTGGCTGGGCAGACGGGACGTTAACAGTCTCTGGCTGGGCAGACGGGACGTTAACAGTCTCTGGCTGGGCAGACGGGACGTTAACAGTCTCTGGCTGGGCAGACGGGACGTTAACAGTCTCTGGCTGGGCAGACGGGACGTTAACAGTCTCTGGCTGGGCAGACGGGACGTTAACAGTCTCTGGCTGGGCAGACGGGACGTGAACAGTCTCTGGCTGGGCAGACGGGACGTGAACAGTCTCTGGCTGGGCAGACGGGACGTTAACAGTCTCTGGCTGGGCAGACGGGACGTTAACAGTCTCTGGCTGGGCAAGCGGAGAGGGCTCTTTGCTGGACAGGACCAGTGGCGAAGGTTTTGAGCTGGGCGGAACCAGCGGTGAAGAGGGCTTTGAGCTGGGCGGAACCAGCGGTGAAGGAAGCTCAGGGCTGGACGGGACCAGCGCCGAAGGAAGCTCAGGGCTGGACGGAACCAGTGGCGAAGGAAGCTCAGGGCTGGACGGGACCAGCGGCAAAGGAAGCTCAGGGCTGGACGGGACCAGCGGCGAAGGAAGCTCAGGGCTGGACGGGACCAGCGTTTCAGGGAGCTTGGGGCTGGACTCATTGGCCAGAACTGATGTTCGTGTAGCCCACACATACAGGATCGCCGCAGACATTACAATCAACGCAGTGTCCTCTTGGATGTACTCACGTACGGTCTGTTCAGTCTCTAACGGGCAGGCGACGGGCTCAGGCTCTGGCGGGCAGGCGACGGGCTCAGGCTCTGGCGGGCAGGCGACGGGCTCAGGCTCTGGCGGGCAGGCGACGGGCTCTGTGCTGGATGGGACCACATGCACCTGGCTGAAGAGCGAACATGGACTGTGGACTGTGGATTGACGACCATGTCCCCCTCTACAACCTCCCCGAGTCCCAGAAAATCTGGCCAAGCGGGTTCCCACAAAACATTGCTTCCAGATCTCCATCTTCCTTTCTTTCTTTCTTTCTTTTCTTTTAGGTCGGTTCTTCTGTCACGGGTGGTGTATGGCAGGAAGCACGAGGAGACGAGGAATTCCAATAAACAATAAACTTTACTATAAATCAAAACAACAAACAGGTACAGGCAGACAGAGCGGATGCAAACACCAGTTAACATTGACAAGAACCGACAAAGACAGACTGAACAGAGAGAACTAAATACAGATACAAACGACCACTAACGAGGTGAGGACAGGTGACACAGATGATTAAGACGATGAACAGGTGGATGATTGAGGGAGTGAATTCAGGTGTGGAGACAAGAGGATGCTGGGCAGTGTAGTGAAGATGACGAAGACAGAAAGGTGCAGACGATGACTGTGACATTAAATACAAGTAAGTGAATAATACAAGAATAAATATTGATGAGTTTATTAACTAGTTAGTCACAATAGTTTTGTACATAATTAATGCATAAGGAACATTTATTAAACCTGTTATGCCATACGGTCAATAATTTTATTTACTGAAGAACTTCCTGAAGTTTCTGGGTCCTCAACGTGCGAGAACAGGTGTGGTCCTATTGTGGAATGTGAATATTGTTTCCAAAGATGATGATACACTAGAAAACTCTTTACTGGTAAAGTCATAAAATGAAAAATGAAGCAATGTAGAAGTTTTTATGTGAATGGTCAAAGGTGATTTTATGGATCGGAGCCTCACTCAACAGTATGCATCAGGTTAGTTTTAATACTGCTGTAGATGTTTACATTTTTTACATTTTATATCACATTTAATGAAGGTTATGAAGGTATGATTTATACTTTTTGTGTGTGTGATATGATACAATATTTTAAAGGCAGCCATGCCTTAATAATATAATTCCTCCATAATGGTTAATCATTTGCTTAGGTCTGATTGCATGACAACTTCTGTACACTGTGATAACAAGACATATATATGTCATCAGAGCCTAACAAGGATCCATTATCAAGGGATAGACTGGAGGTACCGAGACAGATTGAAGGTACCTTGAATGTTGAAGGTAAGAAATAAGGTCTATTGTATACATTCTATTCTATTATTTATGATACATTGCCTTAGCATAATAAATAATATAAATATAGCCTATAATATGGGCCTATTTATAAACATTTTGTAATATTTTTAACTCAATTCTGCTCACTTCTCTCTAAAGATTTGAATTCCTTTTTTTTCCTTCAATTTGTCTACTGGTTTAGTAAATTTTTTCCTCATGAATAAAAAGAAGTTTTTTTTTTTTTTACACAGCAAGCTTAACTAAATTGCTAATTTTTTTTATTCTTGACTCAGATGATCATGAAGTCATTAGTACCCACTGTGGCCCTGATCACACTAGTAGTGTCAAGGATGCAGGCTTTTGTGTCAGTCGGGGGTAACGGAAACACTCATGTGACCATTACTGGTTCTGCTGTGATGGCAAAGATCCAGGAGGTGTGTGAAGCAGTGGCTGAATCAGAAGGAAGAAAATTCAATCCAACGGTGAGTTTGTGTACAAGTAGGGGCATAAAAAGCAGTGCACTATAACCATACCATAGAAATTGTGCGATTCTTCTGAAGACAAACAATAGAATTTTTATTCAAAATGATGATAAATTGAATTGAAATGATTCCACTTTAACACAGGGCTCATCACCTGAAGAGCTGCTGCGTGCGTGTCTGGGCACGGCCACAGGTGAGGTTTCGGGTGCCAAGTTCCGTACGGCACTGAATCAGATCTACATGCAGAATGGATTTGTGGACCGTGATTTCATGGACAGTGCACCACACCACTTCAATAATGAGGCCTTCACTGAGGGGCGCAACCTCATCATTCAGGGAACTGCAGCCATAAAAGCGAATGTCCGCACTGACAACCTTCAATCTGCCAGAGAAACACTAGGGAGAGTGTGTCACACACTACAGGTGGGTGAGAGGGAGATACAGTCAGTGACTATGACAAGCATATTGCTACAAAATTGCTCAAGTACATGGTTTCACTCATTAACAATTTGTTAACACATTTATACAGTTATTATAAGAAATGCTTTTGTTTATGGCTGTCACATATGTTTCTTTAAAAGAAATGTTCTCTAGCAAATCAAAAAACTTAAGCTTTAAATATTAATATTATGTTAAACATCCAGTTAATAAAATTTGTCAACATTTGCTTATATTAAAGGAACGCACACACACAAACAGTCTCATTTCATATAGAACCATTAACAAAATAAACCATAAACTTGGTACAATTATTACAATTTATTATAAGAAATGCTTTTATGGTTGTGACAAGTTTCTCTAAAAGATGTGTTTTCAAGCTAAATTATAAAAAAAACATACGCTTAAATATAACGTAAGCTTTAATAGCATTAATATTATGTTACGCATTAATCTTAATTCTTTTTTTTTCAGGATTTTTACAGCCACAGTAACTGGGTTGAATTAGGCAACAAAAGTCCATATGCCAACCTCATCAGACCGGATCTCAACATTGAGAACATTGCAGGTAGATACAGCCAGTGGGTGTGATTTATGAGAGAGACTCATATGTGGAAATTAAATGTGATTACACCCTTCTTTCAGTGTTGACATGTCCAATGTTCATGTGTAATAGCTCTTAAAAATCAATTTTTAAAATGAAAACTAGAGATAAGTGAACAGATGACCTGGTGCATAACTGATAATAACAGGTTACACCAGAGAGTACATATCATGTATGAGATGAATCTATGTAGACTGTTCCTAAACAGCAAATAAGTAAATTAAGTGCATGTTTGTAGCTATGTTTCCATCCACACGTTTTTATCCGCATTAAGTGATATCGAATGAAAAATGCCTTATGGAAACAGTAAAATTCGATTGAATTTCATGAATATCGACTCAAATGAAATACGATCGGTCTCATCGAATTTTATCTTGATCGATATACGCCTTATGCGATAAACGCGGATGGAAACGTTATTATGGTGCGATCCATTTTGCCTAGTAAAACTTTGTTCGCAAATGTTGGCTTGAATGTTGTGCAATTCGATGAGAAAATGAATGGAAACACCTTAACATGTCTCAAATCAATTCGATATACCAATTTGATCGCAAAACAGCATGTGACGTCATTACCAGTGTTGTGCTAGTTACTAAGAAATAGTAACTAGTTACAGTTACTAGTTACTTCATTCAAAAAGTAACTCAATTACTTTGTTGATTACTTGCACCAAAAAGTAATGCGTTACTGTGAAAAGTAACTTTTTAGTTACTTTTTTAAAGAAAGTTCTTTAATGTTCCCATTAATGCCCTTTTATGCGTTATGGTCTATACAAACACAAAACTGACTTAAACAGAAAGTAATTTTTAAACACTATTTTATTTAAGTCAGACCAGCACAAACTGAATATATCACAAGGATTTCTGAAATAAATAACAAAACAAGCATGTGTAAAGCTAGTGATGTGTTTGCTTTCTCAACATTGATATGTTCATGCAGCTGACAGTAATACGTTTTTACTGCATGAATGAATATTTGAGCAATACAATTGTACCTTGATCATTCTTGTTAGTTCATAGTAGGCTAATTAACTAAGGTAATAACAGATACAATAACAATTTAAACTCAATTTCAAATGTATTAAGTAAATGTTGAAATTAAAAAACTAACAATGAATGATACTTCTACAACATTTATTAACCATATTTAATGCTAAAATTGTAATCTCATTGTAAAGTGTTACCATTTTATATGATTCAAGCTTATAGAAGATGGCCATATTTAAATATCTGCAAAGGCCAGAGCATTAAAATTACATAAATGTAGACCTATATATTACATGTATAGTCTTTCACTTTATTTGCTTAAATTTTAGAACACTTGATTAGGAAACTTGATGTCGCTGCATGAACATAGCATTGCAATCACGTCAGCTTTAAAAATACAACTTCGCCGGCTAATGAATGCATAACAGTGACCAGCTGGATATAAACTAATGCAAATAGATGGTAACAATTGCGACATAAAACATCTGGGTCAGGTCTGCGTGTGTTTTGGTCACATTGCTTTAATCGCTTGAGGTAAGTTAGCCGTTACTAATGTTATTCCTCTCAGACTCGACGGCAAGCTTCTGTTCTTTCTCTGTTGATGCAGCATCTAGACAAAATATTACTTTATAATGATATGGCAATGTGTACTTTAGTGTTCTGTATTCATACCGTTTCGCTGTCTGTGTTTTAAATGCGCATCTGAAGTGCTCAGCGCTCTCCGTGCAGCTTGTAATCTCCGTGCTCGCGCGGCCTCACGTGTTAACGTAAACAACTCAGCCAGTGAGTTTATGTGTCCTCTCGCTCTGTATAATGCTATCAGTCTCTTCAGTGATCTCGTACTGTGTAACAGCGCACACTTCTCAGCCGCTCCAGCAACTAATTAATTTAAAAAAGTAACGGACAACGCACCATATGGTAACGATAACGGAGTTACTTTATTTAAAAAGTAATGCGTTACAGTATTAGTTACTGTCAAAAGTAACTGCGTTACTGCCCAACACTGGTCATTACGCACAGGTTTTTATCCGCTTTAAAGCCGTTTGATGGAAACACACTTTCACCAGCTTTATTCGCATGAGTTTTTTTTACCGAACTTCAGATAATTCGATTGACAAGTGAATGGAAACATGGCTTGTGATTTATGTGTGTTGTATAATGCTGTATATGTATTTGTTCATGTGCAGACGTTGCAATGCCAACATGCAGTGACTGTGCCAGTGGTACATGTCCAAACCAGCTGCTGTCTGCTATTCTGAATGGGAAGTACCTCACTTCAGGATACATGGGCTTGTTCTCCTCTGACAAACCTCAAGGTGAGGAAACATACATAGGTTTATACCAGAAAACACGCATGGGCATATATACTGTAAAAATGTAAGGTGAAGTCAAAATGTATTATTAACTACTTCCACAGCTTTTTTAAGCTAACAGATTAATTTACAACAAACGTTGGTGTTTTATCAGCTTCTTAGAATGAGTGGTTTTAGGTTGTTATGTGTAAGCAACTGACAAATATTGCTGTGCAGGTAAACCTCACTCCCCTGATCTCAAGAGGCGCACTAGCAACTGACACTAGAGACTGCGGTCTTTAATGTCTTTGTTAGTGTACCTGCCTTCCATAAGGCGTTCCATAGGGTTACATAAGCAGAGGCTGTATTAACCAAAACATTTCTAACTTTTACCAAATTTGATAAAACCTCAACAGATAATTCAAAATGTCTTTGACAGATAAAAAATAAGATATCATCTGCATTTCCCCACTTAAGAAACATTTTAAAAAATTAGAGAAATACGTTTAAAAATATTCTTAAGTGTCACAATTTCATTGTTTGTCTTTTATGCGTGTGTGAAAGGTAAATGTAGCCATGGTGGGGAGACTGATCTCAGCAGTACCCAGAATCCTCGAGGTGGGATCAGTAAAGATGAACGCCGTTCCCATAATGCTGATCTACACAATAATGCTGTGAACCTGGCATCTGAAGCCACCCTGGAGCTGCTGGAGGACATACGTGGAGCTGTAGGGAACAAGGACTACCTTCGGTATGGGGATAAATTCCTTATATATCCTTAGACAAACTTTCTTAAACATTTAAGAGATATTATTACTGGCAAAGCTGGGAGCAAAATGTCATGTTGTCTTAACAACCTGTTTTCTACACTACAATACTTTTACAATTACAATGATGATTTCTGGTGGATCATGTGACACTAAAGACTGGACTAGTGGCTGCTGAAAAATCAGCATTGCTACAGCAATAAATTACATTTTAAAATATATTCAAACAGAAAACAGTCATTTAAAATGTTATACTATTTCAAAATAGTGCTGTATTTAGTGTATTTTTGATCAAATAAATCTAGCCTTGGTGAGGATATGGATAAGATCGACCACAAACTTTTGAATGGTAGTCCATGTGGCATTCCTAATTTGTATGTCTACATAATGGTATATCACTATAAATGTAATGTGAATGCATTAATGTTCACATTTAAAATCCATTAACCAGAATAATAATTGTTTCCTCCATCAGACTGATGGGTATTGCACGATCTGCAGTGCTGGCTTTTGTAATTGACACCACAGGCAGTATGTCGGACGACATTGCAGAAGCCAAGAGAGTCGCCTTCAACATCATTGACAGTAAGAAAGGAACTCAAGATGAACCATCTGAATATATTCTGGTGCCGTTTAATGATCCAGGTGAGTGCAAAAAGGGTTTACATTAAGCATTGAAAGCATTAAGCATTAAAAATAAACCTTTTTAATTAAACTAAACTGTTTTATTGAAACTTTTCATTATTGAGTGCAATTTATAGTGTGCAATTTTGTGTTCAAAATTGACAGAATTTATATAATAAGCGAGTACATCATGAATCCATTTTCCAAACCATGTTTTTGTCTTATTCTGAATCACTATGGAACACCTATAATAAGTGTTTAAATGTGGACTATTTTAGACCGGTCTTTTTTTACTATTTTTTTTTACAGATACTATTTGTATGAATTTTGTGTGTATTTGCAGGTTTTGGACCACTAATAAGAACCACAGACCCAGATATAATGAAGTCAGAGATCTCTAAACTCTATGCCCATGATGGCGGAGACCTCCCAGAAATGTGCCTGTCAGGACTTCAGGTACTGTGTTGTGTGGCCTTTCAGCCAATCAGCTCAATCGTCATATCTGATTAGCAACCACAAAAGTCTCTAGTTAGAACTAATAATTATTAGAATATTAAATATTATAAAGAATATTATAGAGAATCTGTGAACCTTCATCCACAACTAAATTGACTGTATTAAGATCCATTCTAAGTTTGGTCAAAACACCAGCAGGAACATTGCAAGGAATCAGTTTTAATTGACCACTCTGGTTCTTCTCCTTTCTAACCTTCTGTCTCTCCCGCAGTTGGCTCTGACAGGCGCTCCCTCCTCCTCGCATATATATGTGTTCACCGACGCTCCACCAAAGGATACATACCTGGAGAAAACCATCACCGCCCTCATCCGCAGCACCAAGTCTACGGTAAACTGTCCATCGTTGTTTCACTTTCAGTTTTTGCCATCAACATTTTCACCAGGCCTCAATTAGTTTCCCACTTTCCCACTCTCCCCCTCTCTTTTCAGGTGAACGTCTTCATGACAACATCAAGGAGGAGGAGAAGGGCATTGAAGGCAGGGCCAGCTTTTCAGGTGTATTTTGACGTGGCCTTGGCCTCTGGAGGTCAAGCCATTGAGGTTCCCAAGTCCAGCCTCTCTCAAGCCACTGACATCATTGTTGATACCTCCACCTCAGCCCTGGTATGATCAGCATTTTATAGAAATATTATTTTGAAATTGTAAACATCTCACAAACAAAACAGTTATAACAGCCTAAGTTACTGGAATAAATTAATAAATGTTTGCACACTCTTTCTTCTCCTGTCAGGTGACAATTCTTCAGCGCTCCAGGGATCCAGGACGTGTGGAGAGTTTCTCCTTCCTACTGGATGAGTCTGTGTCCAACACTACTATCTATATCACAGGAAGTAGCCTCACATTCAACCTACGCAGCCCGACAGGTAAATTCAGAGGCACTTTAGGCAGTTTTAACAGTTTTAACAAATTTAACAATGAACTAATTGACATTACATTTATTTGACAATTTACAGGCCCCATTAGCTGTTAAATTAAGACAAGCTGTCAAACATTTAGAATTTCAGCTTTCCCAACAAATTTAGATTATCTTCATTTCATCTTAGTCCAGGATAAGTCATAGTGTCATGCAAGTTTTACCAGGCTGCAAACAACTCTAAACATAAAATCTGTAACAGAAGATGAAATGAAAATCTGGTTTAGTCTCACTGACTATATATTCTCTCCTAATGTTAAGGACGGCAATAGCTAGTAAAATCTAGAAAACTCTGAAAACTTAATTAAAACTAACAATGTTAGAGTGAAATGTTAGAAGTTATTGAAAAATTAAATAGAAATAAAAACTAAATAAAAATGTAAAATATAGAATAAATAGATAAATATAAATAGAATAACTTGTGAATTGATTATATTATATTGTGCTGTACTCACTTGATTGATTGTCGATTGTTATTATGCACAGCTTCAATATAAGATAAAAGTAAGTTCCTTCACTATTATCTAATGGGATGCACTTGCTTCCAGGTGTCTCTCAATCTAACACTGTTTCCAACGGACCTCTGGGAACAATTCATAAAGTAGGTAACCTGCAACGGATCCAATTAAATGAAACTGAGATGGGCCTGTGGCACATTGACATGACGACAACTCAGTCCTACACCATAAAAGTGATTGGTGAGCCATCATGTACACATTTAATAAACTAATGCAAAACAAAAGACTGTAGTCTTTGCTAACCTGTATTTAGGCCTTTGTAATGTAGACAGTAAAAAAAGTATTTAAAATGAAAAGAATCTGCATTCTTCAGGTCAGAGTGCGATTACATTCATCTATGACTTTGTGGAGGAATTCAAAGGACCTCATCCTGGATATGCGGTCATTGATGGGCGGCCGTCAGCAGGTTTGAACCACTGTTGTATTCAACTATGACTCAATTCTTATACAATTATTTGAATGGCAGTGTTAAAAGATTATTGGCTTATATTTCAGGTTTACCGGCTAAGCTGCTACTAACACTGACTGGAGAGAAAGGTCCAGAGGTTCTAGAGGTGCATGAGGTCGCTCTCATGGAGGTGTCTGGGGTCAAAGTGTCTAATGGAACCATAGAGAAAATGGGTGGTGGAGATTTCCTAGTTACTGTGAAAGAAGTGCCAGAAGGAGAGTTTGTGGTCTTGCTAAAAGGAAAAGACAAGACCTTCTCCAGCCTGTTCCAGAGGCAGACCACCACACAGATGTCTCAGTCCAAAGTCACTGTCAAGGTACAAACTGCATTCTTTTTTGGAACATGACACTCATTTTTGAAACTATTATTTGATCTATTATGACATTTCTTCTGTTCCAAAACTTAGTGAGCTGTACCAAAAGGTAGACACAGTATCTTCAGATATGCTGCCTCCTAAGATAACTCTTTTCATCTAGATTTGAAGGAATTATTGCATATATTCTTCACAGAGAATAGCATGACATTCCCCGAATGCATTGCACTAAGTTCAGTGAAAAAAATAAATCCAATAAATCCATGGTGGATGAGTGGAAAAGACTGGGTTGCATTCACTAATAATTGCGTGGATTTTTCACGTTTGTAATCTTTTATCTAAATAACTTATCAAAATAACATCTCTTTTCTTCTCTGAAGATGTGTTTACTGGCGTGAGAGATCATAGCTATAGCAAACCACAAACATCCACAGATTCGATCAATTCCCGATGGACAAAATCAAGTCCCGCCCTACATTTGTTCTTGTTTGAAAAGCCATTTTACTCGGATATACATCACAATAGGGAAGAAAAGACTATTGCAACTTGTGTTTCATACCAACTTTAAAGGGTTGTTCACCCAAAAATTAAAATTCTGTCAGTATTTAGTATTTACTCACCCTCATGTTGTTCCAACCCCGTAAGACCTTCGTTCATTTTCGGAACACGTATTAAGATATTTTTGATGAAATCTGACAGCTGGATCACTCCTCCATACTAGTCCATAGGCTTCTTCAGGGATTGAACTTGCCGGCCTCGAAAAGTTATTAAAGACATCGTTAAAATAGTCCAAGTGACTACAGTGGCTCAATCTTAAGTTTATCAAGCGACGAGAATCCTTTTTGTGCGCAAAAACAAACAAAAATAACGACTTTATTTCAACTATTCATGTCCTTCTCTTTGGGCCTCTAGTCAGTTAACGTAGTGTGATTCCGTAGAGCTACGTCACACGTAGGCTCACTATTGGCCGACACTGGTCATGTGCGTGATGCGTGTGACGTACAACAACAGAAGCTTACGCTATTACACTAGTGAACTGACTCGAGGCCCAAAGAGATGGACATGAATAGTTGAAATAAAGTCGTTATTTTTGTTTGTTTTTGCGCACAAAAAGTATTCTCGTCGCTTGATAAACTTAAGATTGAGCCACTGTAGTCACTTGGACTATTTTAACAATGTCTTTAATAACTTTTCGAGGCCGGCAAGTTCAATCCCTGAAGAAGCCTATGGAGGAGTGATCCAGCTCTCAGATTTCATCAAAAATATCTTAATTCGTGTTCCGAAGATGAACGAAGGTCTTACGGGGTTGGAACAACATGAGGATGAGTAATTACTGACAGAATTTTAATTTTTGGGTGAACTATCCCTTTAATAACTGTTTTGTTAGCTTAGCAACATGCTAACATACAAAAATCTATTGAAATATCTATTGTGGTCGAGTCTCTCGTGTGGAAATCGGTCACTTCTAAGGTTCCATAAAAGTTAGAATACTTCCTTTAGAAGGCAGTACTCTAGTTGTTTGAACACATCTATTTTAATTATAATGCTATTTTCTGGAATTTAATATCTTTTGTTTTACCTCTCCCTCTATAGGCAATAGCGGACAGCTCCATGCTACCAGGACAAGTATTTAAACTAAATTTTACTGTTACAACCAATGGATCAAGCGGTACCTACACAATTCGTGCAAGGAATGACAAAACCATCCCTATGACACATCCATTAACGTAATTTCTCCACTTACTTATCAAATCACTCAGTGATGATTGATGCACAAGTTTTTATAGCTTTTCTTATCAAGAGCAAAACTCTGATCCACAGTCATGTTTCTTTGTCATCGCAGGCTCAATCTGGAGAGTGGCGGCAGTGCTCAAGGGACAGTGTCTCTCACTCCTCCTGCAGATACGGTCTCAGGCACAGATGTTACGCTAACCATCGAGGCAGAGGGACCTGGAGGAAGTGATTCTAACTATGCTGTCATTCGCCTTTCTGTTCTCTCCAAGGTAACCTCACATGCTTTCAGAAAAAAATGTGTTGTTCCCAACAAACAACAAGCCACATGAGTCATTTCAGTCAAATTCTCTACTGATTTTGCAGTAGTGGTAGCCCAACACTAAATACAACATTGTTGTGTACAAAAGCAAACAAAAAAGTTCTTAATATCAAACAATTATATTTATTAGGCCCACCAAAATTCTAAATTATTAACTTGACAGAATGAATAGGAATAGGAAAAATTTAGATCTCTAAATGTGTACATTTCAATGGCTGCCAATAATTATCCACACAAAACAAATTGGTTTGGTTGACCTATATTGAATATATCGTTCAAGTTTGAACAGTATGATATTTTTTAAAAAGAAATTAATTCTTTTATTTAGCAAGGTAGCGTTAAATTGATCAAAAGTGAAAATGTTTTTTTTTACATTGTAACAAAATATTTCTATTTCAAAATAACAGTGTTCTTTGCTAAACTTTTCATCAAAGAATCCACAAAAATAATAAGCAGCACATCTGTTTTCAACATTGATAATAAGAAATGGGTCTTGAGCACCCTATCAGCATAATAGAATGATTCCTGAAGGATCTATAATATTATGCAGAGTTATGCTTCAGTAAGCTGTTGTTTTAACTCTTCCTTCACTGTTCCGTCCAGGTGACTGACTTGACACCTCCAAAATGTGAAATTGTCGATGTACAGGGTACTTGCTACGCCTCCTCTTGCAGCTCATCAAACTGGGAACTGTCTGTCAACATCACAGACGGTAAAGGCACAGGCATTGAGAGCATTTCCATCCAGCAAGGCAGTGGAAATTTAACCCAGAAGGAAGAGGAAGACACTGTGATGGGTCTATATGAGGCCTCCTGTTGTTCAACTTCTGTGACTTTATCCGCAGTTGACAAGGTTGGGAACGTAGGCAGGTGCAGTTACACCATGAAGTCTAGCGCAGGCTCTCGCCTCATCAGCATGTCCCTCCCGCTGTGGACATCTCTGCTTTTCTATGTTTTTCTACGTGACGCATTTCCTCTGTAATGATATGGAGTACATCAACCAAATACACAATCATCCTATCATTCTCTTTCTCATCCCATCCATCTGTAAAAATATTTTTATAAAGCTTTCTCAGAGCTGTAAAATAATGTAAGGCAAAGCATTTCATCCCAAACATTCCATTATCGGCATTTCCAAATATGCAGGACGACTAATGAAGAACCATGCTGCTTATTCAGAACCTAAGAAAAACTTCAAAGATAGACTGAATTTTTATGTGACCTCATCTGACAGGTAGAACAATAAATGAGAAATCATGAAAGTCTTTGTCTTATTAACATGGATTTAATTCTTGAAGCTATTACTTTTTTTCTGCTCAAATATAGGAGGACAATCTTTATTTTAGTATATTTTGTGTTTAAATGTTATAAGGTATTTTGAACATCAATTTAATTTGACAAATATCTGCAATGAATTATATGCACAAAAAGGTTTGAATGTTTAAAATTGAACAGTTTATCCTTGGATTTGAATTTGCAAATCGTCATTTGTGTGTGAATCACCTTGGATTTGAGTGTGTGTATTTTTGAGACTTTCATGGCAGTGCTCTTCTCCCACTCGGGTCAGTCGTACTCTTTGGCCAATCAGATTTAAAGGGGTCATATAATGGTACATGCACTTTTACAAGTTGATTGTACTGAAATGTGTGTTGGCAGTGCCTGTACACAATCATCATATAATGATAAAAATCCATCCAGTGTTTTTGTTTTAATCTCCTTATATGTTTTCCCCTGCCTCAAATCAAGCCGTTCGACCGTGTGACGTCACACGGTCGGAAGCCCCTCCCACGATTGTTGATTGACAGGCGCGTTTCAACACAGACCCGCCCTCGCTCGTCCTGTCAATCATAGTCCGCGCGGACCGGCGCGGTCATTGTTGATATGCTGGAGCACTGTCTATGAGCAGAATGGCATCTAAGCGATTGTGGTGTTCTGTTCTTGGGTGCAATAACGAACACAGCAGTCATTTTAATGTTCCTAAATCCGAACCGCTGAAGACGCAGTGGCTGAGTTTTGTTTTTGAAGGGAATATTCCCCACGAGCAACGTCAATGCTCTCATGTTTGCCGAATCATTTCTCAGTGGACTGCTTTATAAACGAGGATCAGTGTAAAGCTGGTTTTGCTGAGAAGCTGCACCTGAATAAAGGATCGGAACCTATTCGTGTTACTGCTGAACCTTCAGAAGAACTAAAGTGAGTGTAACGTTTTATTAATCTTTATATTAATCTTTATATTAATCTTTGCAAATCGCCAGCTGCACGCTTCACGATGAATGCGTCGGTTTACACTCAGGGTACATTACAGCATGTTTTCTATGTACAACGTTCTCAATATAATTCATAATCCCACGTTTATAATGAACAACGCGTTATGGTTATTGTGTTATTGTGTTACAAACGGTGTATGCGCAGAACAGAGAGGCGGGGTGAGCAAAGCTCATTATCATTTAAAGTCATATGCACTGAAACGGCGTGCTGAAAACAGAGCTGTTTTTGACCAGGTAAAATAAGTGTTTTCTTACAATACTAATGAGAATTTTTAATTAAAGTATATTAAAAACTTTTAATTTAGACCCTAAAGAATCATATTAGCTTGTACAAAAATGGCATTATATGACCCCTTTAAGCTTAATCATAAAGCCGACATATGTCCGACTTCATACAGCGCTGCGCAGACCGATCGGCGGCTGACTTGAAGCAGTGCATGCCGGTTAGAAATTTTGTCCGACTTGAGACAGCGCAGACACCACGTGACTGGCGAATACCATCAAAAAGTACCGTGAGAGCATTCCAAAGCAGCCAGCTGGTTCCCTGAGAGGAGGGAACGAGACATTACGTAAACTGCCGTGTGAAAAGCCTTCAGCCTCATTGCTCTCGTTCAGTCGAAAGATTCTGAGGTTTTTGGCTATTTGCAAGCAAAAGAGTTATTCAAATCAGGCTTCAGCATTTCGAGGAAAATGAATTTCCCCATCCGTAATGTCTCGTTCCCTCCTCTCAGGGAACTACGGTTACGTGAGTAACCAGAGACGTTTTATTTAGTTCTTTTTGATTTATTAGGTTTCTTTTATGTGTTTATATGGAAGGGCCTTACTTAAATAAAACTGCTGTGTAAAAGCGTTTATATATCAGAATCCTGACTGCTGGTTCATTTTATACATGATTTACCTGTTAGCTCTTTAAGTGGGCAGGGTTACAATCCATTCTTTTAAATTAATCTGCTGCGATGTCCATTCATCCATTATTCACGACCAAGAAAGGAAGCTACTAGTTTTTTTTATCAGTTTTATTTTGATAAACATATAACATCGTGACTAGCCTACATTAAAAGAGCATTTGTGAGCATTAGTGGAACTGAAGGTGTGAGAATAAACATGAAACACGTGATCGTGTCATGTGGTGAATCCTGCCAATCGTGGAACAGCTGTGTCATAATCAGAGCTCATGGGAAGATGCACAGAATGAACTATGGTTACTTGAGTAACCAGAGACGTTCCCTTATCGAGTCGGTCCCTCGACATTACGTATGGGGAACATATAAAACCCCCGCCGTGTGGAAAAACTGGCCGGCCCAACTCACTGTAAGCACAAGCACTAGCCTCAGACATGCGCTTTAGCTTCAGGTCGGGTACCGGACCTGGTTGAAACACTGATGCACTCTTGGCACAGAGCCAACTCGGCGCCCACACCAACGGGGGAAAATGCAGCAATATGTTGGTGCTTGAGAATACTGCTGGCTTATGAACGCAGGCATAATAAAAAAGGCCACAATAGAGTTAATGTGTATTATTATCAAAGGTAACTCGCTGTCTATACGACCTGGTTGAAACCATGGTTAGAAAAACGCGCCAGATGGGGCGTGTCCTCAGACGACTTAGTCACCCAATGGCTGCTCAGGCCTCTCCTCCTGCACTGACAGAACGTGTGGTGCGAACGAGGGAATGTCCAAGTTATAAAATCTTGCAAACGTGTTGTGAGATGACCAGCCCCCTGCGAGACAAATGTCCTGAATAGACATGCCTTTCGCCCAAGGCCATGACGACGCCAAGCTCCTAGTGGAGTGGGCGCGCACCCCTATTTGGCAATCGGTTCCTCGGGAAGCATAAGCTAGTCGCACGGCTTCAGAACAGTCCAGAACTCGTGGTCGTAAACAGGCTGAGGTCGAGGCAGGCAGCAAACGTTCGTACACAGAGTCCAGAGAACAGGCAAAGATCAGGGAACCAGGAAAACCAGGGATACTAGAAAATGCTCAGGAATGCTTGGACATGTCTGCAGGGCAAAACAAGACTTAGCTAGCTTACGCTACGGGAAAGATTCATCTTTTCTGAGAATTTGAAGCCCAAAAATTATCCTATAATTTTGTATCCATTGTCAACGCAGTTCAGCTGCAGCAGACCATGAGCGGGCTAGCTAGCAGCTCATTGGTTCGCTCACAGAGAACTGCTTAAGCCTATGAGGAGACGCGAATGAACTCTCGGCCAATGAGAGTCTGACCTGCTCTCATTGCGTCAGAGCCCGCCGAAACGGGCGTGGTCAGAGAGTATAAATTAGCGTCCCCAGGCTGTAAACTCTGGTTTTCATAGAATGAAGCGAGAACGCTAGGAGCACAAGCACAGCCAGGAACGCAATACTCGTTCCCTCATCTAGAGAGAACCGAGGTTACGTTAGGTAACCGATTCGTTCTCTTACGAGAGGTTCTCTCGTATTGCGTAAGCTAGCTTACGCTACGGGAACACCTGGTCAACGCCGTGCGTGCTAAGCATCCACTATGAGTCCCAGGGGAGACCCCGGGGAACCCTTATGAGTGGGAATAATTATATGTACCTGTGACAAATGCCAGCAGAGCGGGCCGGAGACTGTGTAGTACATAAGCACATGATAGAGAGGGACAGAGCGAAACCGGTCTGTGTGAAATGACTCCCTATAGTGCAGCTCAACCAGAAGAGCTGTAACCTACTAGACTGCTAGTAGTTTAGCCTGCAAGGCGGGAACTTCCAGATTGTAAAATCTGACAAAGGTGGAGGGGGAAGCCCATCCCGCTGCCACACAAATGTCATGAATGGAAATTCCGCTGGACCATGCCCACGATGAGGCCATGCCTCTAGTGGAATGAGCCCTGATGCCCAGAGGGCATGGCAGGTCTTTTGATGCGTATGCGGCTGCAATGGCATCAACTATCCATCTGGATAGAGTCTGTTTCGAGGCGGCCAACCCCTTGGTGCGCCCACCGAACGAAACAAAAAGCTGCTCGGATCGTCTGACCGGAGCAGTGCGAGTAATGTATAATCTCAGGGCCCTGACCGGACACAGGAGATTAGAGTCAGATTCGCTATCGGATGCAGGCAGAGCCGATAGGGAAATAACTTGTGCCCTGAACGGGGTACCAATCGCTTTTGGGACATAACCATGTCTAGGTTTGAGAACGACTAAGGAGTCATTGGGCCCAAACTCGAGACAGGAAGCGCTAATGGACAGCGCGTGAAGGTCTCCCACACGTTTTACTGACGCGAGCGCGAGCAGAAAAACTGTTTTGAGCGAAAGGTATTTGAGGTCCACGGTGTTTAGCGGTTCGAATGGAGGGGCTTTCATAGCTTCGAGAACTATGGAAAGGTCCCAAATCGGCACCGAAGGGGGGCGTGGGGGGTTCATCCTTCTAGCTCCTCTGAGGAAGCGGATGACCAAGCCATCTTTGCCCAGTGACTGGCCGCGCCGGGGTTCAACGAACGCTGCGACGGCTGCCACATACACCTTGAGAGTGGACTGGGACCTGCCCTTGTCCAACATCTCTTGGAGAAAAACTAGCAAGGAAGGAACCTCGCATAACCGTGGGTCCAAGTTTTTGTCGGTGCACCATTTAGAAAACACAGAACATTTAGACGAATAGAGCCTTCTAGTAGAAGCCGCTCTAGCCTGTATGATCGTGTTTAACACTCCCTCTGGCAAAGCAACGGGTAGTTGTTGATCACCCACGCATGTAGCGCCCAGCGCTCTGGGTGGGAA